CTGGTGGGCGGAGTCATACAACCACAGGGCGGGCTGGTGGGCGGAGTCATACAACCACAGGGTTGGCTGGTGGGCGGAGTCATACAACCACAGGGTGGACTGGTGGGTGGAGTCATACAACCACAGGGTGGACTGGTGGGCGGAGTCATACAACCACAGGGCGGGCTGGTGGGCGGAGTCATACAACCACAGGGTAGGCTGGTGGGCGGAGTCATACAACCACAGGGCGGATTGGTGGGCGGAGTCATACAACCACAGGGCGGACTGGTGGGCGGAGTCATACAACCACAGGGCGGTCATTGAATATTTATAGAAAATATAAACTATATGTATGGTTATTATGATGAAAAAAAGGAGTGACCAGATCATGTTGCAGGTAGTCCTGAGCCCGGAGGCGGGTCCTCCAGACCTGTCATTTCATTGGCTCTCTCCGTAGTGTGACTGACTGTCAGCCAATCAGATGTTGTGCTAACCTCAGCACATGTTGCTAACTGTGCATGGCTCAAAGTTTCCAGGTGGGACTGGTGCTCCGAGCGTCACCGTACTGATCGAAACAGCTCAGTGTGAGAACATGAACCATCACAGCCAGGGGTTATTTCTAACATGTATGACACTCTGATCACATGACCTGAGATGATGCCTTCACTGTCAGTAAACTGACCTGTACACAGCGCTGCAGCAACATCACCCTGCAGGTTAATCCTCTTATGACCCTGAATTCAACCTGCTGAGTCTGCAGCTGATGACGTAAAACCAACAACACACAACACAGTCAAGTGAGCAGGTGTGTTCAGTACATAAAACACAGTCAGGTGAGCAGGTGTGTTCAGTATATAAAACACAGTCAGGTGAGCAGTGGTCTTGTTCAGTATCAGGGTGGACTGAAGGTATTTAGAAGTTATCATTTTCTGTCCTGTATAAACACAGGCGTTCGTCTCGTCCTCTCGCTGTGATACTGTGATCGCTGATACACAGACGCTGTATGAAGATGACATGTTGTAGTTTACAGCTGAACCACCAGAGGTCAGTGTGCACTGGTCGAACAGGCAGCTGAGCTGAGAATGATGGCGGTTGTGAGTGGTGAAGATAATGTTAAAGGAGCAAAGGTGAAATAGAAACACGCCTCTGCTCCTGACGGGGAGTTCATTCAGCTCTGGGACAAACGTAGTGAACCACCTGTGTAAACACCGCCGTGCAGATGAAACGGCGTCACACGTCACATGATGCAGCGACTCCTGTCACAGCTCTGATGTTTTTATTTTTACCATAAATCCTGTCACACACTCCAGTAACCTGTCAGGAAGGTATGAAGATGCAGACCCCACCCACGCCCAGGTAACAGGTGAGAACACTATGATAACGTTGTGTCATTCTCTCTGCAGGTCGGGGATCATAAGTTCAGTGCTCACCGGATCGTGTTGGCGGCCTCCATCCCATACTTCCACGCCATGTTCACCAACGACATGGTCGAGTGTAAACAGGACGAGATCCTGATGCAGGGCATGGACCCCAGGTAACCATAGACCAGTTTGAGACCAGTTTAACCAGAGACCAGTCTGAAACCAGTGTAACCAGTCCCTGTCTCCCTGCAGCGCCCTGGAGGCTCTGATCAACTTTGCGTACAGCGGCCATGTTGCCATCGACCAGCAGAACGTTCAGGCTCTTCTGATTGGCTCCAGCTTCCTGCAGCTGCAGAATGTGAAAGATGCCTGCTGCTCCTTCCTGCAGGAGAGGTTAGTTACACGCCACCGCACACGCTCAGTACCCTCTGAATCCTTAAAGTGTCAGTTTAGTTTAATTCATGAGACTCTGTAAAATATGGCCGACACATCAAACCCTCACACTCAGAAACAAGATCTGAAAACTGATGGAAGTGTCTGTCTGTCTCTCTGTCTGTCTGTGGTGTCCAGGTTACATCCAAAGAACTGTCTTGGCGTGCGTCAGTTTGCAGAGACCATGATGTGCACGACTCTGTACGACTCAGCCAACACCTTCCTCCATCAGCACTTTGTGGAAGTTTCTGTGTCCGACGAGTTTCTGGGTCTGAGGACGGAGGAGGTGCTGGAGCTGGTGGGCTGTGACGAGCTCAACATCAAAGCAGAGGAACAGGTGAGACACCTGAGACCACAAGAGACAAACACACCTGTTGAATGTGTCGTATCTGTTCAGGTGTCTGAGGTGTGTTGATTGTGTGATACCTGTGAAGGTGTCTGAGGCGTGTTGAATGTGTTGTACATGTTCAGGTGTCTGAGATGTGTTGAATGTGTGGTACCTGTGAAGGTGTCTGAGGTGTGTTGATTGTGTGGTACCTGTTCAGGTGTCTGAGGTGTGTTGAATGTGTGGTACCTGTGAAGGTGTCTGAGGCGTGTCGAATGTGTCGTACATGTTCAGGTGTCTGAGGTGTGTCGAATGTGTGGTACCTGTTCAGGTGTCTGAGGTGTGTTGATTGTGTGGTACCTGTTCAGGTGTCTGAGGTGTGTTGAATGTGTGGTACCTGTTCAGGTGTCTGAGGTGTGTTGAATGTGTGGTACCTGTTCAGGTGTCTGAGGTGTGTTGATTGTGTGGTACCTGTTCAGGTGTCTGAGGTGTGTTGAATGTGTGGTACCTGTTCAGGTGTCTGAGGTGTGTTGAATGTGTGGTACCTGTTCAGGTGTCTGAGGTGTGTTGAATGTGTGGTACCTGTTCAGGTGTCTGAGGTGTGTTGAATGTGTGGTACCTGTGCAGGTGTCTGAGGCATGTCGAATGTGTTGTACATGTTCAGGTGTCTGAGGTGTGTTGAATGTGTGGTACCTGTTCAGGTGTCTGAGGTGTGTTGAATGTGTGGTACCTGTGCAGGTGTCTGAGGCATGTTGAATGTGTGGTACCTGTTCAGGTGTCTGAGGTGTGTTGAATGTGTGGTACCTGTTCAGGTGTCTGAGGTGTGTTGAATGTGTGGTACCTGTTCAGGTGTCTGAGGCATGTTGAATGTGTCGTACCTGTGCAGGTGTCTGAGGCATGTCGAATGTGTCGTACCTGTGAAGGTGTCTGAGGTGTGTTGAATGTGTGGTACCTGTGAAGGTGTCTGAGGCATGTTGAATGTGTCGTACCTGTTCAGGTGTCTGAGGTGTGTTGAATGTGTGGTACCTGTTCAGTTGTCTGAGGTGTGTTGAATGTGTGGTACCTGTGAAGGTGTCTGAGGCATGTTAAATGTGTCGTACCTGTTCAGGTGTCTGAGGTGTGTTGAATATGTGGTACCTGTTCAGTTGTCTGAGGTGTGTTGAATGTGTGGTACCTGTTCAGTTGTCTGAGGCATGTTAAATGTGTCGTACCTGTTCAGTTGTCTGAGGTGTGTTGAATATGTGGTACCTGTTCAGGTGTCTGAGGCATGTTAAATGTGTCGTACCTGTTCAGGTGTCTGAGGTGTGTTGAATATGTGGTACCTGTTCAGTTGTCTGAGGTGTGTTGAATGTGTGGTACCTGTTCAGTTGTCTGAGGCATGTTAAATGTGTCGTACCTGTTCAGTTGTCTGAGGTGTGTTGAATATGTGGTACCTGTTCAGTTGTCTGAGGCATGTTAAATGTGTCGTACCTGTTCAGGTGTCTGAGGTGTGTTGAATATGTGGTACCTGTTCAGTTGTCTGAGGTGTGTTGAATATGTGGTACCTGTTCAGGTGTTTGAGGCGGTGCTGGCCTGGGTTCATCATGACCGGGACCTGAGGGAGTCTCTCCTGCCGGAGCTGCTGTCAAAGATCAGACTTCCTCTCTGTCGACCTCAGTTCCTGTCAGACCGAGTCCAGCAGGACGAACTTGTACGCTGCTGCCATAAATGCAGGTGAGACGACGATGATGGTGATGATGATGGTGATGGTGATGATGATGTCACTCATGCTCGCTCCTTGTTATTGACTGAAAGTGTTGAAAGAAAAGAGTGAGAATGTTTCAGAAACTAAAAATGCGGTGTTTCCCGTTTCCTGTCAGAGATCTAGTGGATGAAGCCAAAGATTTCCACCTGATGCCAGAGCGTCGCCCTCACCTGCCCGCCTTTAAGACCAGACAGAGGTGCTGCACGTCCATCACAGGACTTATCTACGCTGTGGGAGGACTTAACAGCTCAGGTACACCACTCACCTGTCAATCTGTCTCAAGAGCTGAGTCGTGATTGGCCTTAGAATCCCAGTAATGAAGACAAACATCCTCCTGTTGAACTTGGAATAACTGAGCTTTTATTGTGAAAATCCAATTCAGACTGACACCAGAAGCTCAGTCATGATAACAGGACTCTCATTTTGAAAGTCTTCCTACAGCTGAGGAGGCTGCTGATTGGTTGGTGACAGAAGTGGGTGGTGATGTACTCCGAGGTTCAGTTCAGACTGACCAATCACAGCTAGTGTGATGTCACTGCAGATATTTGATTGGTCCTCAGCTGACAGTGTCTTTCTTCAGGTGACTCGTTAAACGTGGTGGAAGTGTTTGATCCAATCGGGAACTTCTGGGAGCGATGTCAGCCAATGAGGACGGCTCGCAGCAGAGTGGGTGTGGCTGTCGTTAATGGGTTGCTGTACGCCATCGGTGGATACGACGGCCAATCACGACTCAGCACAGTGGAGGTTTACAATCCCGAGACAGACAGCTGGACACGCGTGTCGAGCATGAACAGCCAGCGCAGGTCAGCACCCCGACTGATGCGCAGATCAATACTCTGATCAATATTTATCACAACTCTAATCAATGCACTGAAACAGCACAGTGTGAATAACAAGTTGTCTTCTTCAGTGCCATGGGAACGGTTGTGATTGATGGACACATCTACGTCTGCGGCGGCTACGACGGAAAATCATCTCTAAACTCTGTAGAGTGTTACTCTCCAGAGACCGACAGGTGAGTCACCTGACAGCAGGGGCCCCGACCCAGTGTCACCCATGGGCCCCGACCCAGTGTCAACCATGGGCCCCGACCCAGTGTCACCCACGGGCCCTGACCCAGTGTCATCCATGGGCCCCGACCCAGTGTCACCCACGGGCCCCGACCCAGTGTCACCCATGGGCCCTAACCCAGTGTCACCCAGGGGCCCCACCCTCCGTAGATGTCGTTAAAACCTGTAGGTGTGTATATGAACATAATACGACCTCGCTGTTATGCAGGTGGACGCTGATGACAGAGATGAGTGAGAGTCGCAGTGCTGCAGGTGTGACGGTGTTTGACGGACGTATCTTTGTCTCTGGCGGCCATGATGGTTTACAGATCTTCAACACGGTGAGTTGTGATTGTTGTCAAAGATCAATACAGCTGATCAGTTATTGTGAGTGTCGATCACAGAAACACGTGGACACGATAAACTCCTGCAGTCAGGGTGATCAATGAAGCTGCACCTTCAGAGTTTACTTACCAATCAGAGTGCTTTAACACCACACGTTCACACACTCATTCATTCACACAAACTTTCACACACTTGTTGATACACGTTCACACACACGTTCACACACTCATTCATTCACACAAACTTTCACACACTTGTTGATACACGTTCACACACGCATTCACATACACATTCACACGCATTCACACACTCATTCACACTCGTTCACACACTCATTCACACTCACGTTCACACACTCATTCACACTCGTTCACACACTCGTTCACACACTCACACGCATTCACACTCACGTTCACACACTCATTCACACTTGTTCACACACGTTCACACACGTTCACACACACATTCACACACACGTTCACACACACTCACGCATTCACACACACGTTCACACTCATTCACAATCATTCACACACTCGTTCACACACGTTCACACACACATTCACACGCATTCACACACTCGTTCACACGCATTCACACACACACGTTCACACACGCATTCACACTCACGTTCACACACTCATTCACACGCATTCACACACTCATTCACACTCATTCACATTCACGTTCACACACTCGTTCACACACTCATTCCCACACTCATTCACACACACGTTCACACACATTCACACACTCATTCACACGGCTTCACACTCATTCACACACTCGTTCACACGTTCACACACTCATTCACACGCATTCACACTCACGTTCACACACTCATTCACACACTCGTTCACACACTCATTCACACGCATTCACACACTCGTTCACACGGATTCACACACTCATTCACACTTGTTCACACACACGTTCACACGGATTCACACACTCATTCACACTTGTTCACACACTCGTTCACACACTCATTCACACACATTCACACACATTCACACACTCGTTCACACGGTTTCACACACTCGTTCACACGCTCATTCACACATGTTCACACACTCATTCACACTCATTCACATGCATTCACACACTCATTCACACACATTCACACACTTGTTCATACGGATTCACACACGTTCACACACTTGTTCACACACATTCACACACTCGTTCACACATGCATTCACACACATTCACACACTCATTCACACGCATTCACACACTCGTTCACACACGCATTCACACACATTCACACACACATTTACACGCATTCACACACTCGTTCACACACTCATTCACACATGTTCACACACTCATTCACACGGATTCACACACTCGTTCACACACTCATTCACACATGTTCACACACTCATTCACACTCGTTCACACACTCATTCACACGCATTCACACACTCCTTCACACACTCGTTCACACACTCCTTCACACACATCAATCAATCAATCAATTTTATTTATAAAGCCCAATATCACAAATCACAATTTGCCTCACAGGGCTTTACAGCATACAACATCCCTCTGTCCTTATGACCCTCACAGCTGATCAGGAAAAACTCCCCAAAAAACCCTTTAACAGGGAAAAAACGGTAGAAACCTCAGGAAGAGCAACTGAGGAGGGATCCCTCTTCCAGGACGGACAGACGTGCAATAGATGTCGTACAGAACAGATCAACATAATAAATTAACAGTAATC